GGAGAAAGCATAAAGTTTCTCATGGTGGCAGGCAAGTGGGTGGAAAGGCAGATGCTACCTGTTCCTTCTTCCCTTTTCCCCCGGTACCTTGCAGTGCTGTACCTTGCAGTGCTGTACGTAGTTGTTCTTGCTCTCCTCCCCCTCAGGAAGCAGCCGTGGTGGGATGGGGTGCCTCATGTTCAGGCTGGTGGGAGTGGAACGGTTGCCTTGGCCTGGTTGGGTTCAAAAATGGAATCTGAGTTTGAATTGTGTGGTTATTGCATCTTATTTCCCATCTGAGTACATTTAGTTTTCACTTCTCCAAATGCATGTTCTGTCATGCCTACGAGACTTCCTGAAGTTGACTGAGACTCTGGTGTGTATTTGGTTTGGGAGGTCTATTGCACGACCAGCAGTTAGAGCTGTTTTCAGATGAACTTAGCCCAAAGGTATGCTTGGACTGACAAGTAACCAAGAGTGAGTAAAGTACTTATGAGCAAGAGTTGAGAGAGCTTTTTAAGTCTTACTTTTTTGTTTAAGTGACTTTGTTCATTACTTCAATTTGGTTCTTGGAGTGCTGGCAAAGACTTCTGATTTGAAGTGACACTTTCTGGAGCACAGAAGGGTGTGCAGGACCATAGAGAACTCTCTTAGTCTGTATTTACATTTTTGTAACAATGTGATGCTTAAGTGCTTGTGGAAATGCGTAAGGGACTTCTGTAGCTCCCATTAATCCTCTGTGTTTTGGTCACCTCTGTGTAAAAGGATTTTTTTTTTTACAAGAGAATTTTACAAACTAATCTGTTTCAGGAATAGAAATCAACTTTATTTTGAGACTTGTTTGGGTGCATATTTAATTTATACAGAATTCATGCTATCTGGTAGTTTTGTATTGAAACGTTTCCTACCACAGTTGGTTGGTGTGCTTAGACTAAAGGTGACAGGGAAGCGTGTTTGGTTTTGGAGATATGCTTGGGAGCCACAGTAAGTAATTTTACCTCTTCAGCAGGGTTGTGACTCAGGAATCCCTTTGAGTGTTGTGAAGGCTGTTGTGATAAAGCTGTGATAAGCCAGGCCATTGATCTTTATAGAGTGTTGCTGGTGGCAGAGCTGACACTTCAGTTTCAGACCTGAAGACAGTGTGACATACTAGAGGCTCGAGAACAGGCTAAAACCTATAAATGTAGCGGTAGCTAGCAGTAAGGCATTGAAAGCCCAACTCAAACCAGCTAAGACACTGCTATTGAAATTCAAAGGTTTTTGTTTGCTTGTTTTGTTGGATTTTTTTTTGATGAGTTGGTGGTCTCAGAATAGTTGGAAAAGCACGTGCATCCAGTTAGTCAATGTTCCGCTTTGGTTGACCAGTACTTTGACCAGTGTGCCTAGCAGCAACTGCTCATTAGGAAGAGAAAGCCAGTTGCCTAAATCCAGTTTCTGTGATTGTTGGATCGGGCACAGATGTTTGAGGTAATGGTATTTTTCTTGAGGAAGATGTGCAAGGTCTTTTCGTGGTGCAGAGGTGGCTTGTTTGTGCTGTGCTGAGGTACTGTCGGTAACTTTCCTTGTGTGCAGAAGAAAGTCTGCCTGGTGAAGTTCTGTCTCAGAACTTGCTGGATTTGTGTGTAGCCCTCAGGGTTCCCCAGAAATTTAGGTTTTAGAGGGAGAAGGGGGAACAACATGAAGTAGGAAATTAGGAGAATAAGAAGTCTTTTAAGTTAAACTTCAATGAGAGGAGCAACTGTAGGGCCTCTGAAAAAGCAGATTGTTCTCACTAAGACAGATATTGGACATTATAAACTTAATTGTGTGGAAAATCTACTTAATGTTCTCTAGGGATCACGAGCACATGATTATGCTTTTAAAGGGTTGATGTATTTAAACTTACAGGAACTGAAAATTTCAATGAGTCTAGAAAAACAGATGGAAGCTTTAGATAACACAATTATAACAACATTATTGCTACACTGCTTGTCACTTTATCATCCCAAATAAAAACAAATGAGCTCTGTTCATTCTCCCTCTCTTTCTGAGCTTGAGTGTAGGAGTTGCCATTGGAATTGCACTCCCAGCTGTAAAAGTGTGTTAGATTTGTCAGGATTACTAATTTAGTGTGCAGTTCTGGGGGAAAAAAAAAGAGTAGATAAGAGGAAGAAGGGGAGAGAAGCAAAGTTGAACAGTTAAAAAATACTTGAGCCCTAGAGGACTGGGATTGATAACACAATCAGTGTATATATTTAACTGTTTAAATTAAATATTGTGATGGAGGTGGTTGGGAGAGGGAAAAATCCCTCAGCTGGGGAAGCATCTCTTAGGGTATGACTGTGAAGTATAATATGTCGATGAACTGAGAAGAGAAACTTTTGCAGAAAGAGAACTCCAGAGCTTTCTGCCTTTCTGCCAAGGGTTTTGAAGTCTTCCTTTGTCCTTTCTGCAGTTCTAGGAGCCTGCCTCTTGCATATTGTTTTGGGTTTGATTCCAGCGACTTTCAATTCCTGAACTCTTTTGCATTCTCTTCAGTGCCTCAGCGATGAGCTGCTCAGTAGTAGCATAGCTGTCAGTGTGGTGCAGGCAGTGCTCACGTCTGTTGTAGTGAGCGAATGAAGAGCTTCAGTCTGGATTAAACAAAAAAAAGATAAGTTAAAAAAAGGAATACAAGCTGTCTCTGCTCCCTGCCGTTACTGCCACACACGTGGGGATGCTGAGTTGGTTGCATGCAGGCTAGCTCAGGAGCAGCAGCATACAAACAGGGCTGTGCTTTACTTGAATAGTGAACACTGTGGCAGACTGATTGAACAGATTCTGAGCTGGCTTTTGGAAGTGTTCACACAGAGGGGTTCAATGCTGTTTGTTGCTGTTTGTCTCCTCCAAAATTTTTGGATCACCAAACTATCTCTTTTGGAAGTCTGCTGAGCATTTGTTTGCACCTTGAGTGCATGCTGTGCCAGCAGGGGCATGAGGCAAACTTCTGTTGAAAGATTTGCACCTTGCTTTCTCCATAGAAATTATGCTGTAAGTTCACAGCCTCTGTTTCTCTTCCTTTCTTCCCAGCTCTCCTTCATTTTTGGGGGGCTTGAAAACTTGTCAACCTTGATGCTGGTTTTTTTACTGATGTTCCAAGAAAGGCAGAAGAGAAATCCTGTGTTTCTCCCAAGTAGCAGAAAATGTGCCTTTACTGTGAATGCAAATCTAACCTCTGAGTTTATTTTTAACAGGATTTTTTGCACAAAATCAGCCTTGAAAAATTCCCTTTTAGCTCCATGCATGTAAACAAGATACATGGGATGAGTATGAGACATCTCTAGCAGCAGGTGTTACTGACTGTGCTCAGTGTCGTGCTGATCTTGGAGTAGTGAGAAATTCTGTAGTATTTGTATGAATATCTTTCTCATATACGTTGGGTGAATCCCATTGGCAGGCTCCAATGTCATGGACTTTTTTGGAGAGAAAAAGGTAGCATCTGCATTACTTTGAATTTCTGGAAGTTTGCACTTGAGACATCAGATGAATGTGTGCTAAATGCAGGTGGAGCAAATGATAGCTGGCTGAAGTATGTGTGACCTTCTCAGCAGCTGTGCTGGCACAGATGGACAGCAGCATGGCTCTCTTATATTGGTAAATGAAGTTATGAGGTACTACTGGATGAGAGACTGTCTTAATGAGTCAGGCCAGAAAGTAAAACATTTGTTTTTTTCGGGTAGAATAATATGACTAATCTAAGGAAGGGATCCATATCCAGAGCATCTTAATGCAGCTTTAGTTCCTCCCTTCCCCAGTCAGGAGTTTCTTGAGCACTTTTTTGCTTATCTGCCAGGTTGTGAGAAGAGTTTGGGTGAGACTTGGATAAAATGTTTGGACTGAAGTTTTCTTGTCTCCCTCTCAGCCTGTGCCAACAGCACTCGCTCAGGTTGACCGTGAAAAGATCTACCAGTGGATCAATGAGCTCTCCAGCCCTGAGACACGGGAGAATGCACTGCTGGAGCTGAGCAAGAAGCGTGAGTCTGTGCCTGACCTTGCCCCGATGCTGTGGCACTCATTTGGCACGATTGCAGCACTCCTTCAGGTGGGTAGGACTGGCAATGTGTTTATTCCACAGTGCGGCACCAGGGCACTGCAGAGCTTGTGTGTTCATGGAGCAAACCTGAGGAGGCACTGGTGTGGTCCTTTATTGCTGTTGCTGGACGTATTATGTATGCTGGATCATCTGGTGAGAGGACTAGAGATGGGAAACCTGCTTGTCATTAATTGCCACTAGCAAGGCAATGTATGCAGAGACTGTAAGATTTCTAATTAGATAACGTGTATAATTGGAAGGGAACAGGCAGGTCCTTGGCTGTATAAGCTCCCTGTAGATCAAGTTCGGCTTATTTTCATACAGTGTCATAGGAGAACTGTAGCAGTCTTACTTCGGAGACCTCTGGTTCAATTTGTTTTGTGTGACCTTGTGTGAGCTTGAGCACTTCCTGGTCAGAAGGTTGCCCTTGCAGGGAGCCTGCGGAAAGGGCAGCACAGGAATGCTGCTCACTACTCCAGAGATCCTTGCAATGGAAAGTACCTGCATTTCGTGTGAAACTGAGCGGATTAGCTTATCTCTGGGCAAACTACAGCTGATGACTGGATATCTCTCAGTGCCAAATCTAGTCATTTCTTTCAAAGAAGGTAAGAAAACTTGTGCTGAATTGACAACGTGAAACTGTTTTCAGAATGGTCCTGAAACAAGTAAAGAAGGTTAGAGGGGAGCTATTGTTGAAAGCAGGCAGATTTCTGAATCAGATTTCTTGCCCTCAGCTGCTTACCTGCACTGAGTCAAAAGAGTACCAGGAGCTACAGTATGTTTGGACTGGGTGTGCTCTGCCTCTGTGCAGAGGAACAATGCTCCTTTTTGCTGTGGAAGTTCAAAACAAAGCAGTCCTTATGCTAGCAAAGAGTCAGGAAACCAATTATTTTTTTACCTAAATTGAAGTTCGACTGCATTGCTATGACTCCTTGTCAAATTGACTGTGACCCAGCTCTGGCCTTCCCTGAACAGTGTGGTGGCTGCTCTGTAACTTTAGAGTGATGCTTGGTGAAAGCAGACTGCCATCTCCTGTCACCATAGTTCCTTGCTAGGCAAGTACTTTGGTACAGCTTGCTGATGGTTTTCTCTTTAACTTTTCTTAATCTGTTAATTTTTAGGAAATTGTAAATATTTATCCATCAATCAACCCTCCAACTTTGACAGCTCATCAGTCCAACAGAGTCTGCAATGCTTTAGCTCTGCTGCAGTGCGTTGCATCACATCCTGAAACGAGGTGAGTGTTTCCAAGTGCATGAGTGTTCTGAGGTGTTGATGTTGACAGCTCAGCCTATGCGTTTGACTCCAGAAGCACATAAACTCCTTTATTCTTTTTTACCAAGAGAAGTGGAACAGACAGCAAAGCTGGAAGGTGGGCAGCTGCCTGCTGCTTTCACTTGTTTGCGCAGATTAGCAGGATGACAGCTTTACAGTGGTCCTAAATGCACTGCCTTCTCTGGATCATCCTGAGATCCTGCAGATTCCCGAAACATTGGGCTGTGGCAGCTCCTGAGAGTTCAGCCAGAGATAAGGGTGCCGTTGTGCTGAGTGCTGTGTGCAGGATCCTTGTTTTAATGAGCTTACAGTTACTTAGAACAGCAGCTTTCAGTTATTTAGACCAGCTGTCCAAAGTGTGGAATGAGCAGGATTGTCCTTTCCAGAGACCATGCGTGGCAAGGGAGCAATAGCCAGAGCCATGTATGCAGCCTTCAGCCAGTGCTTGACTTCAGGTTTTCTCAGTCTATGTCCAGCATGTGTCAGCAGGGGAAAAGATGATGTAGCAGTAGCTAAAACTTGGAAGAAAACTATCCAGGGATCCATAATCTCACGTTTCTGTTCCCGCTGAGAAGAAAGCGCTGTGTAGCTGAAGTTGTTCTTCAGCTGCTGCAAAGTAGTGTTAAACAGCAATCTTCCATGAGACGACAGCCAAAGAAACAGAGCAGTTTTACACCATACAACTTTAAATGTGAAATTTGAAAACTGGAAACAGGAAGAATGTTGGGTGATCATTCAAGAGCGCTTCCCCTGCTAGTAGAGTAATCTCCAAGTTTCTCCCTTAAGTCTTTATTTCTCACCATTGTCAGAAGGCAGTGTGAGGACTCTTGGGGAAAGGTGGCTGTGCACATTTAAGCTGTGATAATGCCTAGAGATCAGCCAGTCTGGATTTCTGTCATACAAAAGCTTTGCATATACATTGGGCCTAGCTGTACTTGCCTGCAGGAACCTGCAAGGTGGGATGCAACAGTGAATGTACAAAGCAGAGGGTCTGGGTGGCAGGGAGCAGTAATAAAAACAACAGAACGTGCACTGTTCCTGATCAGCTGGAAGCAGTGGTGCAGGTAACGGGTGGTTTAGGTGTTAAGCTTTGTGCTGTGCCCAGTGCAGAATTTACTTCATGCCCTTCCATCAGAAAACAGACTGTTACCTGCTTTTGAGGAGCAGCAGCAGTGGTGTCTGTCAGGACTAGTCTGAAGCTGTGCATGGTAATGCTGGATTGTATGCTCACTCTGTTTTTCTTGTCTCTCACGTTGTGTGTTCTCCCTTTCCTGCAGGTCGGCTTTCCTGGCAGCTCATATCCCCCTCTTCCTGTACCCCTTCTTGCACACAGTTAGCAAGACGCGTCCATTTGAGTACCTGCGGCTCACGAGCCTGGGAGTGATTGGTAAGCAGCCAGGCTAATGCTGGAGCACTGGTTTCCTATCAAGTTGGATGCAGTTTGTGCTGTGGGTATAGAAACCCACATGACCAAAATCACAGGTCTGATTTACTGGGATTATCTGAGTGTTGTAACAGGAGAAGCTGCTCCTTTCCCATCAGTTGGGGAGGTAGGCTCCTCTCAGTGTGTCGGAACTGGGCTTTTCACTAATAAGAAAATCCTGGAGTCTGGGTGCATTGCCCCAAATTTTTTTTGTGAGTACAAACACCTTCAGTCTTATTGTGCACTCAGTGAGCCCACTAGAAACGGGGATGGGTGAGTACAGACTGCGCTTTCATGGCTTTTTGTCACTGATTGACTTGGGTGCATTTGTCTTGTCCTCCCCTTATTCCATTTCTTTTTTCCTGCCCAAAACATTTCTTCCTCCTTGCATAAAGAGGGTCTTGAAATCTGTGTCTTCTTCGCAGAGGTTGCTGTAGGTGACATGATCCCCTTGTGCTTGTGTTACCACCGTAGGAGAGCTGAGAATGTACCCCCTTTCTGAAAAAAAAAAAACCCCAAGCTCAGCTTGATTACTTTTATGCCCCCAAAACGATTTCTTCTCCAGCCATGTGTTGCAAAATGTTCAGGATGACGGTTGCTCTGTCTGCTGTTCAGACCTAGTGGTTCCTGGGGAGGACACAGTACAGGCTCTCTCTGAAAGGTGAGATTTAATTTTTTTAAAATCAGTTTATTAATTGTTGATTTTTGGCTTTTTGTTTCTCCTTCAAGGGGCCTTGGTGAAAACTGATGAGCAAGAAGTGATAAATTTCTTGTTGACCACAGAAATTATCCCCTTGTGCTTGCGCATTATGGAGTCTGGCAGTGAACTTTCCAAAACGGTACCTGCTCTTTTTTGTCTTAATTAAGACCTTTTGCTTTTATCTCCGACTGACCAGGCAGCCAGCAACCTGCAGAGTTGGCGTGTGTCCTGTTGCAAGTACTAGGGCAACTCTGGGTGGAGGTTTTACCTCCTCAGAAACCAAACAAACCAAAAAACCAAAACCAGACCAACTAAACTGAAGCGGGGAGTTCCTGAGCTTGATAGTTTTGCTGGGGAAGATGTTGCTGCTGTCAACACCCGTTCCTTCTTTTGAACCTCTGCAGTGTAACTTTCAAGGTGGAATGGATCAGCTTTCCTTGGCTGTAGCTATGCAGTGCAGAGGTTGGGCAGCAGCTGTTAGTGCTGGTTATGGGAATGTTCACCACACTGGACCAGTTTGATCAAGGGCCCCTTTCCCCCATGAGCTCAGATCTGTGGTCAAACTGGTCCGATGACGCAGGTAATCTGGCTGCAGGTTTCAGTCTGTGTGCTTCTCTGATGAAGCCTACTGAGGTACCTGGCCAAGGTCCTTCCAGAAAGTCACATCCTGTGACAGATCAGTAATGCACAAGATGAAAACTGAAATCAGCTTGCTGTATAGATGCCACGGCCAAGGGACAGATCCTTCTGCTGCTTTCTCTGTGACCAGAGTAGTGTGGCCATAATCCTAAGGCTGTCCCGACCGGCCCAGCAGTAGTTGCCGTCTTACACAACCTGCCTTCAGTCATCTTGTACGTTGCTTTGTGTCCATCTCTTTTCTTTAGCCAGAGATGCCAAGCGTTGTGTAGTGCCCTGCATTTTCTTTTGGCTTTACACTTTCACTGAGTAGAGCATTTTCTGCCTGCTGAAAGGCCTTTCAGCTCTGGGACTGCCTTGAAAAGAACACAGCACAAAGCCTGTTCCTTTTCAGGACAGATAAGTTGCTTAAACACTTTCTTTTCTGCTTTCTCCCCATTCTAGGTTGCTACGTTTATTCTTCAGAAAATCCTCCTGGATGACACAGGGCTGGCGTATATCTGTCAGACTTATGAGCGGTTTTCCCATGTTGCCATGATCCTGGTGAGATTATTTGTTTCCTCTCTTAAAAAAAAAATTTAAAAATGCTCTAGCAGCTAACTTCTTCAGCAGCTCCTTTACTGCTCTCTAGTTGGAGCACAGGGTGAGAGAGGGCAATCATTCTTAGTTCATTGCTTGTGACATTGTAGCTCTTTGCTCCTGCATGTTTCCTTTGTATGTCTTTGGTTTGCGTGTCAAGAGAGCACATATTGGTTGTAATATGCTGAGTTCCCAAGATAAACCAGGTAAACATCTCCAGAGAAGAAAAAGAGTTTTCAGGGTCGTTAGTTGGATGTGAATTGATTTAATTTGATGTATGAATTATCACATGGATCCACTTCTCACCTCCATCTCCTACTACTGGTTGAAAGAGCAGCAGGTTGAGCGAAGAGGTAAGAGCAGGGCAAGCATGTGTGGTGCTTGCCCTCGTAATGGTCTCACAGCTGCTGGCTATATTCAGCTTTGGATTTCTGCGGCCAGTTGTGCATTTTTTTATGCAGTAACCCCCAGTGTTTGTCCTGTTCTCCCCTTGGACCCGTGGAAACCTTTTGCCAAGGAGTTTCATGGATTTCCTGCTTACTGCCTGTAAGGGCAACCTCCTTTTTTTCCCTCTTTGAACCTGGCTCCACTAACTGCTTCTTATGCCTCTCATTCTTGTGTTGGAACACATTGAGAGCAGACAGTTTTTGTCCATTCCCTGTCCGCTGTGAAGGAGAAGCTTGGGTACTCATAATTTGTTCATCCCAGGAGTAATAGCCCCAGCTTGAGGTTTATTATCTTTGACCTCACCCTGGAATAGCTGCTGTCCTGCTTTTGTGTTTGGTTGTTTGGTGGTTTGTGTTTTAAAGAGCAATCTCAGGAGAAGAAAATGCAGCATTATGTTAAGTGCTTTGCGGTGCTGGTTCTGTGCCTAAATGTTGATGCTTTCATTAGGAATACTGGTCTGTTTTCTTAAATGTAAAGAAAATTTTTCCTCCAAATTCACGTATGACCAGCAAAATAGGAATGATTGTGAGCTGATGCCTATAATATCCAATGTGATGTGATTTTTGCATTCAAGAAAAGGGTTGGCTTTGACGCAAGTACGTCTGCCTTGGGGGCAAAATGAAGAACGCAATTAGGAACCCTGGGGCAGTGGATGGAAGGAGACCAAGGAATAATTCGTGGCTAGAAAGGGTACAGACACTAGCAACGTGGATGTATAAAGCTATGGGAGAAACCCTAGCTGTGGTGTAATCCCAGCATTGGGTGAAACACTGAGATAATTTAATATTCCATAGCGCTATGGAGAAAGATGAAAATGTTCAGAGACATTTCTGTTCTTCATTTCAAAAATTGGGATGGTTGACTCGTGTCTTGTGAGGGTGATGATCTACTTCTTTGTCTGCTGATAATGGAGTGAGATGTTACACACACATTGGATGCTTTTAAAAGAGCAAGATAGTATTTCCCAGACAGCAGCTACCTGAGGAGCTCTCTGACTTCTTCTTTGTTTTGAAGAAATATTGGTATCCTGGGGAATTGCTGAGAACAGAAAGCTTGCAAAAGGGCAGATGAGGGGGACTTGCTAATTGCTAACTGCCTGAATATCCAAAGACAGGTGTATTTGGTTGATGAGGAAAATGGTTTGTGCTTGCCAATGTAGTTTACAGGAAAAAACCCTAACTTGTTGGGCAGATCTCATTTACTCCTTGCTGAGGAAGCAGGCTGTTAAACTCCTTCAAAGCAGGCATGTGAAGGCATCCACACTTAGCTAGGCTGGGTGCATTCAAAAGTGCAACCAGGTGCAAAGTCCTCCACAGTGTGAGAAATGGAGGCTGGGCCAGGGAGATCTGCCCTGGTCTTGCTCCCCAGTAATGGCTTAATGAGGGATGTGGTAGAAAGAGGACAACTCTTGGGTGTGTGGTAAGACCAGATGTAGATCTTACTGTATGTGGTGTGTGTGAGCCCAGTCCTTCAGCCTGGCTTCCCAGGCTCTACTGTTAACGCTTTAAAAAGGTGTTGAGATGAAGGCAGCCCAGGTGAGAACAGGGAGTGTTGCAGGGCTTGGGAATGCACCTACCTCACTGGGTGACTCACCCTGAGCTTATCAAAGCGTTTGAGGTACGTTTTGTCTTCCTCCATGAGGGAGTAACCCTAGGCTCTCTTTAATCTAGCAGAGAGTTGGACCAGGAAGCAGTCCTGGGGAGGTCAAAAATAACAAATAGAGATGAGACAAGCTTTTCCCGGGTCACTGGGAGAATCCTTTCCAAGTCATGGCTGGCTGCCCTTCTCAAAGGCATCTTGGCAGGCAGAGCACCTGGCTCCATGCAGGGGTGTCTAGATGAAAGGTGATGGGCTGTGATGCATGGGAAGCCAGAATGAGTGATTTAGTGGTCTTTCCCAGTCTTTTCTGATTGTGAAGCTGTTCTTACAAAGACTTTAACTGGTGACACTGGCCTCTGTCAAACAGGGGAAAATGGTCCTGCAGCTCTCCAAAGAGCCGTCGGCACGGCTGCTGAAACACGTCGTCCGCTGCTACCTTCGCCTTTCCGATAACCCCAGGTAAACATTTTAGGAGTTTGGGCGGGGGCTTCTCCCACTGCATTGGAAGTGCAATTCTGCTCCACAGTGCCTGCTTGGGGAGAGTTGAGATTCCTTGTCTGTCCTTAAGTCAGCCTGAGCTCAGTGTGGAAGATGGGTGGGTTTTTTGGTTGCTTTGGTTTTTTGTTGCTAGTCCCAGGAGCTTTTATGGTACATAGGAGTAACAGTGACTCCTTGGGGCTTGTGCTGGTTCAAGTTGAGCAGGTTACTACTACCTGAGCTTAAATTTAGCTTGAACAAGATACAAGGGAGGGACAGAGGTGTGGAAGGTACGCTATGCTCTCCCTCTTCTGCATCCTGTGGGCTGTTAGCAGTAGAAATCAATAGATGAAATTTGGCATGAAGTCAGTTTGTATTCCTTTAGCTGATTAGCAGCTCTGCCCAAAGCCATTGGGTATGTGTTTGTGTTCTCAGCCTCTTGCAGCATCACACTGCTCTTGACTGATGGGTATCAAAGCTCAGGGGTTGGCTTCATGGGCTCTGCGGTGAGGGATGGGAGCCGAGCTGGCTGGCAGGGCCGTGTGCTGCGGTGCTACTGTTCAGTGCTTTCCTTGGCTGGCCCTGCCAGGGAGAGAAAGGAGCATTGTGCCCCAGTGGGGTCTGTTCCCCCCTTGCCTCTGTGAGTTTATTTGTTGGGCCCCGTTTCTTCTCTCTTGATGTAGGGCACGTGAAGCTCTCAGGCAGTGCCTTCCTGACCAACTGAAGGACACCACCTTTGCCCAGGTCCTGAAGGATGACACCACCACAAAGCGCTGGCTGGCTCAGCTTGTCAAGAACCTGCAAGAAGGTCAAGTCACTGACCCACGGGGCATCCCTCTTCCTCCGCAGTGACTGCTGGGGGAGGTGGGGGACCGGAGAAGATACAGCTCAGGTTTACAAAGAACCAGGAACAGATGACCTCTTCTGTCACAAACTGGGCACGCCAGCTGGCTGCTGGCCTGTCAGACCATCCCACCCAGCCAAAGGGCTGCTCTGTAGCAATGCAGCACACCTGGGGATCACAGCACCAGCAAATGCTGACAGTACAGCTTGAAAAAAAAATCAATAAAAACAATCTGTAAAGATCCCTATATCTCCAGGAGGCTTGGCTGGCATCTCCCCCACCATCAGACAGGGGTAGTGGATGTCTGATCTTCCAGCTAGCTCAGCCTCTGCCCAGGCAGTGTGTGACACGGGGTGTGTGCCACATCCCTCTAGTTCCTTGTCACTTCTTGTTTACATATCTGTTTAGATGAGTGAGCTGAATAAAAGCTGATTCAGTTGTTTTATCCCCTCTTACGACTGCTGCTCAGCTGCAGATAGCTCGGGGACAGCTTTCTTCCCTGCCAGGAAATCCTTGCTCCTGGCTCTGCATCCAGCTGGCACAGAGAGCTTCTCTCTCCCTTTCCTTTGGCACAGGGGCAGTGGCTGGAGCTGGGCCACCACAGTGCTTGCCCCAAGAGGAGGGGTGAATTACTTGCGATGAACCCATGCATCATAAGCTTGCTTCCCAGGGCTCTGGGGGAGGAGAAGACAGCAGGACTGTGCCTCTTGTGCTGTAAAGAGTGTGCTCAAACAGCTAGCCAGTGGTTGATGTGTGCTGGCCTCCCATCTAGCCCAGCTCCTGCCCGGTGGGGCTGCTGACTGGCTCATCAGGCAGAGCTCAGCATAAGGGAACCTGGCTCATGGTGGTCAGCAGGCCACTGACCGATGATCCCTGCCAGGACAGCTGGGAGCGACATCCTGCAGGTTCCAGGTATGCCGGCCTCTGCGCCTGCCGCTGCCTGCCTGGTGTCTCTCCCCTTTCCCCCTCCTCCATCTCATCTCTGCCAGCCAGCTGCATCCATTCCAGCTTTCAAACCTGCCTTGGTATCTGCCTCAGCCCTGCCGCGGTTAAACTGGACAAGCAGCCGCTTACCTGCCTTCCCTGCGCCGAGGGGTTGGTGTGGCTGCAGCAGGCT